ACCATTTAGGGAGGTGGAGGACAGCGTTACACCCTGACCTAACCTAACCTGCTAACACGGCCAGCACTTAAGGCAGCAACTGAGCGTAAAACCTTCTCAGCTTCTACTGGCCTGGCCCTTGTTGTTATGATGAGGTGGTGATGGTCTATCTATCTATCTCTCTATCTATCTATCCCTTTTGCTCACTTTTTTACACTCTTGAATGTCGTTTATATAAAGATTGAGTGTGCGCGTGTGTGTGTGTGTGTGGTAGAAGAGAACAGTCATGCCACACGGTGACCCCCAAAGAGGGTCTCTCACCTTCGCGTCTTCACCAGACCCATGATTGGCAACACTGATACTACGTAGTAAGTTTCTCTCTCTCTCTCTTCTTTCTTTCTTTCTCTTATTTATCAATAAATTTCCCATTTTCTTTGATAAATTCTAATCGTTTTCTCTGAACAAACTAACACTACTGGACTTAAATTATGTCACAAATAACACACACACACACACACACACACACACACACACACACACACACACACACACACACATCCAGATCTAACAGAAACACACACACACTCTCTCCCACATACAGACATACAGACAAAGAGAAAGACAAACACAGAGAAAAGAAACCACTCAATCTGACCATAAAGCTCGAGAAAAATGACTTACACCCTTTTAAGACACCCTGAGCTTAAATGGACCAGTTAGATACGTTCTCATATTACCAGTTAAGAGCAAAAATTAACTTAGAAACCTTTGAGAATCCCGAGCTTATGTGAATTAATTAGATACATTCTGACATTACCAGTTAAGAGAAAAAAATAACTTGTCTTTTTTTTACTGTGACTGCCGAGTGCGTGTGTCCGAGCACAAGCAACAGTCGAGTAATGAGTGCTTGGGGTACGAAGTAACAGGGTGGCGCACAAGTGTTTTGTATCCTGTCACTGACCATCCAGGATGTTTTTTTTTTACTTTTTTTTTGTACAACACTGTCAAGGGGCTGTGGATGATGATGTTTCTGTTGTCTGTCTTTGATGTGAATTGTGGTATTTATTGTGTTTGTTTTGGTGAGGTGTTTGAGTGTTGATGTGGTTGTGTTTTTTGGGAGGAGTGACTGTTTGATATTTGTGTCTCTGTGCTGAGTGGTGTACCGACACACACACACACACATCGTTCCCTCATACTCTCTCTCTCTCTCTCTCTCTCTCTCTCTCTCTCTCTCTCTCTCTCTCTCTTACCTGTTTCACTCCCATCATTAACCTCTGTTCCTCCCCCATTACTCGCTTCCATACCTGGTTACCTGATGTTAACACCCACACCTGAATGACCGACCACACTTTCACCTGTACCTGACCTGACCTCTTGTACCACATTTGGCCCCTTGTATCACACCTGACCTGACCCCTTGTAGCACACCTGACCTGACCCCTTGTACCACACCTGATCTGACCCCCTTATACCACACCTGACCTGACCCCTTGTACCACGCCTGACCTTACCTCCTTATACCACACTTAGCCTGACCCCTTGTCCCACACCAGACCCCTTGTACCTGACCTGACCCCTTGTACCCCATCTGACCTGACCCATTGTGCAACGCCTGACCTGACCCCTTGTACCATACCTGATCTGACCCCCTTGTACCACACCTGACCTGACCCCTTGTGTTGACCTTTTCTTGGAACGCCGTGATCTGCCTCCAACACCTTCCCTGAGACTAGTTTTCAGGTCTTTCTCCTTCATCATTATCTTCTCTCCTCCTCCTGCACTTTCTTCTCTTTTATTTCCTCCTCCTCCTTCTCTCTGTCCATCTCCCACTACTCCTCCACCTTCTGCTCTTCTCTCTATCATTATTCTCCCACTCATTTTATAATAATAATAATCAACACAGAATAAAATAATTAATACAACAATACAATACAATACTAACTTATACAGTACACATTTTTATCTGTCCTCTTCCTCTTATTTTACGAAATTAGATAAATAATAATAATAAATTAATAAATACAATAATAAAATACGAAAAGTTTGTCGAGGAATTTTTTATGATAATAGTTCAGGAACTTACCGAGGATGGCGCTGTTGTCGACCCTGATGATGACGTCACGGGTGGTTTACTACTGTTGTCACGCCCTGTTGATTATAAGTTTATATTATTGTCACCGTCACTGTCACTATCACCATCACCATCAACATCATTATCACCATCATCACTTAGCAATTAATAATAAAAATGCAAATTTTAAATTGGTCCCAAAACTAAAATAAATCAATATCTATATCACTTATTTTACTTATAATCAAAATCACGTAAAGTAACTAACTCCTTCTGCAGTAAAGAACACTTTTTTACGTTCTCAGAATACGGTATTGACTCACTCACTTCACTTAACAATAACGCTTAATATTCTTACTTTAGTTAATTTTCTAAGTATTTCCAACGTATGAATTTCTCTCGTAAATATCAACAAACTTTTTTCCTCACAAATTTTCACAGTAAGAAAGTCGTAAAAGAACTTGTGAATATTATCAGAAACAAAAATCGTTCTCGGACACTAACCGGGAGTCGACCAGACGTGGATGGGTGGTACATCTTATCATTTCAGAAAATAAAAATAAATTATCAAAAATTCTATATTATTCTCCTTTCTATACACAATAATAAATAAAAACTAAAGAGAAAAAGAAGAAATTAAAATATCGGACCTTAAATATTTGATAGTTTAATGTTTAATATAATTTATAAATATTACGAGACAGCACATGCATCTTTACAAAGTCGTAAACCAGGATAAGAGGCGATAAAATATTTTCTGCCGACAATATAAAATAACTATATAACTTAATCTATTCTTATAAGTATATGTGTGTATAATAAAATTAATACTAATACTACTACTGATAATAATAATAATAATAATAAATGAAAAACAAGGAATAAATTAAGAGAAAACAGAGAACAATTCGATAGACAAAGACAAAGAATAAATAAATCAATAAACATAGAAACACAAACAAAAACGAATAACTAAAGACATACAAACGGAAGAGAATGAGAAATAAAAATAAGTTCAGCTGCACACGAGGACTGGGACAGGGATGATAAAGATAAAATCAAGGAAGTAAGAGAGGGCGCCAATAAATATGTAAATAGGGCAAGAAATGAATAGCCAGACAAAGGAACGACATGGAGAGAATTATAATAAATGGTGGGAAAGTAGGGAGAAGATGTGATAAAATGTGTCCATAGACAATATGTGATGAATTTACCTAATAATAATAATAATAATAATAATAATAAAAACAACAAAAATAATAGTAATAATAACACTAACGAAAACAACAATAATAATAATATTATTAATAATAATAATAATAATAATAATAATAATAATAATAATAACATTAATAATAATAATAATAATAATAATAATAATAATAATAATAATAATAATAATAATAACAAATAATAAAAAATGATGACATATATATATATATATATATATATATATATATATATATATATATATATATATATATATATATATATATATATTTTTTGACAATGATGATGATGATGATGATGATGATGATGATGATAATGATGATGATGATAATGATGATTATGATAATGATAATGATGATGATAATAATGATGATAATGATAATAATTATAATGATAATGATGATGATAATGATAATGATGATGATAATGATGATGATGCCCCGACTGTTACGCCTGGTGTCACATTAATCATTCAGGAGGAAGACAGAACCAAGGAACACATCTGACAGGAGCAGCCAAGGACACCTCTACCCTGCCCTGCCTTCTTCCTTACCGTGGAGCCCAAGGATCTGAAGGACTCCCCCTCTCCTTCCCCCCTTCACCCTTCCCCCCTCCACCCCCCACATCTCCTCAGTCCCTAAAAGAACCTCATTTTAACCCCCTACCAGTACTACCAACCCCCTACCAGTACCCCCAACCCCCTTCCAGTATCCCCAACACACACCCCAGCCCCCACACAGCCCCCCTATATTAATAATGCACCAGGCCGCTCCTTATCTCACCTGGATCAAGTCAGGAAGACGAATAATTAAGGAGGGCAAAAAAGAGCAGGTAACAGCCTTATCACCTGTCGTCTCGTCTCCCGCTCCGTTCCGGGTTAGAATCTTTCTCTGTAGACGGCTGGTGAACGATCTTTAATAGTTAACTAGCAATTATGTAATAGGAATTACTAGCAATTATATAATAGGACTTTAATTAACTCCTCTACCTATTTGATGCTACCAGTGTTCAGAAGTCAAAGGTATCCAAAAGGATTATATATACTTAATGATTAACCAATTATATATATCGTACATTACTAATCACGGTATACCTGACTTCATATATATATGTATTTATAGGTATAGCGTGTGTATATGATCGTCACGGCAAATTAATGAAGTTGATATGGTTAGCACGCCTATAATGTGGTTGGTACCCCTACATATAAACGGCATTATATGGTTGGCACCCCTGGAGATCATTGTGTTTTGTTTACATAATACCGCCATTAAACGTTCGTGAAGCTGTATAAGGAATAGTAAGATATTTCCCCTATCAGTAAATTGTAAGCAAGTGACAGAGCGGAAATCATAAATCTCGATTCTAATTGGCCAGATGTTTCACGTAAAGGAAAACGGGGCTTCGTTCTTACCAGGTGTTCGACATTTATGGTGCAATTATCTATTTAAACATGTACCTTAAATTATGACTTCGACTTAGAACGAAACACCGTAAATCGTATATCGAATCTTTCGTTATACATATAGATAGAAGTTAACTAAATATAAGATTACTTTTAACAGTTAAATTACCCTAAAAGAGGAAAAATATTACCTCAAACTCGAACGACATGAAAGCTGGCGTAGTTACCTGTCCAAACCAATCACTATAGAAAAAAAAAACACATTCAATTACTCTAAACACCTGTGGTCACCAAATGAGCCACGTTCACTAGGAGCAGAGGCCAGGCGCTAGTTTTCACCTCGTTGTGGCCACGTTAGGACAGAAGAGATTATCGCCTTCCTAGAGACAGAGAAAAGAAAGGTATTCTCATTAATTAGATTCCGCACAGGTGCTTCTCCAGGTAACCCACAGGTGTTATACATATGGACAATCTTAATCTAGCGTCCTTGTGTTCTTATGTGTGTTCAGGTGAATAAAAAAAGAACAAGGTGAAGAGTTTAGTGGAAAAAGAACGTTTTGGTTAGGACAATAATCTGTCTCGGTAAATAACAAGAGATACAGGGTCATGAAAAAAGAAAAAGGGTCTATATTAGAATGTGGTTATATGTTTTTTCATGACCCTGTATACAAGTGATATCAGAAATATACAGAATGAGGAAATAGTGCAAAGGAGAGAGAGAGAGAGAGAGTACGATAGAAGGATAGAATGAGAGATAGAGGGAGGTAGAGCTAGAGACAGAGGAAGGGGTATGAGGTAGAAGAATAAATTGAAAGACAGATGTTTGTGAGAAAAACAGATGTGTATGTGTGTGTGTGTGTGTGTGTGTGTGTGTGTGTGTGTGTGTGTGTGTGTGTGTGTGTGTGTGTGTGTGTGTGTGTGTGTGTGTGTGTTCATTTTTCTTCTTGGTATTACTGGGACGTATCAATAAGAAGTCCTAACAAATCAAATTTCGTGGGGCAATTCCGCTGCTGTAAAACCTGGCTAATTATTCCATTAATACGAGAGAAACATCATAGTCAATTTTCTCTTAGCGGTTGTGTTGATGCACAATGCTCTCGTCTGAAAATTCTGGCAACCCATTTATTGCACCATGTCACTATCAGCCCACCACGCCACTTCGGCAGATTATTGATACTGAAACAGTTTATTTAGCCGGAAGAACATAGATACAGAGTGGATAATAATAACAATATTAACATGGGTGAGCCAGTTGAGAGCCAGAGCTCTCATGAAGGCACCTGATATATACTATACATTTATCACAAGGGAGTATACTGTTACAGTTAGTATCTTCAGTAATAGTACACGTTATACTGTAGTAACAACATATCACAATGTTACCACGGATATCACTTCGTTGACTACAGGTAAGGAACTAAGCATTTTTCTAGTGATTTTGCAATTATTTTTCTTATCATCATACACAAGAAGTAACAACCTCAGTCTGAGATTCTGAAAAATTTCATAAAAAATGGGTACATATAATACACTGAACCACCTGGCAGTTATGGAGTGTGTTGATCAATAAGAGGCGTGTCCCTCCCTTGGTGCCGGCCGGTGCTGTGGTGGACACGATACAATAGCTCCCCCTACTCACCACAACTTATTATATACACTTTATTCATTATTTGGGGATAAATATATAGTAAATGGCTTACATATGTGCACTTTTAACACTGTATTTTTCATGATCTGGGGACCTGTTACCTCTCTCAAGACTGACACCATTAAGTATAAACACCGATCCACTATATTATCTTACAGCACCAACTGGCCAAATGCTATTACCTGTATTAATTAACACTCGCTGGCCACACGTATAAGTTAATTACTGTGTATATCACCAGGTAGTATAACTTCTCATCACTTTATCTTTGGAAAAAAAATATTTTAAGTAGTAGTGGCCTGGTGGGCTTAGGGCCTCAATATGGCCCTCTCTCACCAAGCCACTCACAGTCCCTCACCACTCACCACCCTCACCACTCACCACCCCCACTTCTCATCAAGCCGTTCACCAACCTCACCACTCACCACACTCACCACCCCCACTTCTCACCACCCTCACCTCTCACCAGCACAAGGATGGTGACTACTAGAATACAACAGAAGAGGCGCCAAATGATGCACCTGGTGCAGCCTTACTTACCACAACTGCTACTGTGCCTCCGCTGTACTGTGTTGGTGATCATCTGCGCCGTCTCCGTACACCTGCTGCAGATAGTAACAGGTGAGTTGTGGGGGCTACTAAGCTGTGGGGGCTACTGTTATGGGGCTGCTGGGCTACTGGGAGGCTACTGTTGTGGGGGCTACTGTTGTGGGGGCTACTGTTGTGGGGGCTACTACTGTTGTGGGGGCTACTGTTGTGTGGACTACTGTTTTGATTTACTATAAAGGTATTACTGTTAAAAGATTCTGTTGTCTCTCTCTCTCTCTCTCTCTAATACACATCCATCCTCACTTCCAGATGCGGGCTCGAGTGTCACCCCCTGGAAACTTTTCTCTAGAGACCAGGAGACTCAAGGAAAGACTCGAGAGAACGTAGGAGTCTCCCAGAATGACCAGGAGATTGAAATGAGCGATCCTTTGTACCCAAGGATAAGTGATATGCTGTAAGTACTGAAGGAGTGAAGGAGGAGGGTGGTGAGAAGGAAGAAGAGAGGAGAGGGAGAGGGTGGGTAAGAGGGAGAGTTAGAGAGTGGAGGAGAGGGATAGAGTGGGGAGAGGGCGAAGGAGAAGGGGAGGAATAGGAAAAGAGAGATATGTGAGAGGGTGGAGAAGGAGAGGAGGGGTAGGTGTCAAGAAGAAGGTGAAGTAGAAAGAGGTGAGGGGAAATGAAAGGGAGGAAGAGGAATAGGGAGGGAAAGGTATGTGAGAGGGAGAAGAAGGAGGAAGAGGAGGAGGAAAGGGAAGAGAAGGAAAGGGTGGGTAAGGAAGGAGAGAAAGAGCTGGGAAAGGAAGAGGAGAGGTGGTGATAAAGATGAAGAAAGAAGCGTTGGATAAGAGGAAGAATTAAAATATATAAATAACATGTGTGTCTATGTCCGTAAATATATACAGAATGCCTATCTATCTATCTATCTATCTATCTATCTATCTATCTATCTATCTATCTATCTGTTTGTGTCTGTCTCTACCACACATCTACCTTATCTACCTGTCTCTATCTACCTTATCTACCTGTCTCTATCTACCTTATCTACCTGTCTCTATCTACCTTATCTACCTGTCTCTACCTGTCTCTATCTACCTGTCTCTATCTACCTTATCTACCTGTCTCTATCTACCTTATCTACCTGTCTCTATCTACCTCATCTACCTGTCTCTACCTGTCTCTACCTGTCTCTATCTACCCAGGAACGAACACATCTACTTCTCCTTCTATGACGGCCATCGTGTTTACACCAACCAGGACAGCGTGGGTGGTGGTGTGAGCCGTAAACCTCGACATAATGAACAGGAGATGTTGTACCAGGTGAGCTGTCTGTCTGTCTGACTCGTTTTGTTGGTCTCTCTCTCTCTCTCTTTAATTCTCTCACTTTATCTATCTGTATCTATCTATTTATATGTCTGTGTGTCTGAAGTTTTGTCTATCTAAAAAAATGGTTTTAAATATACCAATAAGTGTGACCAGTTTACTATTTTAATTTAGTCACTAACACCTACCTTTCTCCCCACCCTCTTTGTCCCTCACCCCTTTTCCCCATCCCTCACCACCTCCCACTCCCCTCTCACCCCTCCCACTCACCTCTTCCCCCTTCAACAGGTACACGGTGAGGCAGTTAAGTACCTGAACAAGAAGTACCCAGACAGGTACAAACCTGAACACTGTAACTCTATCAGGTATGTCCAATTGTACTCCATTTACCTGTAAGACTCTCAGGTGTGTAACTTATTTCCCTGTACCTGTAACTGTATCGCTGTAATCTCAACATACAGGTGATTAATGTAGTCTGTCTGTCTGTCAGTCTGAGTCAGTATGTAAATAGGTGAAATTTATTACTGTTGGAAAATATTCTGATTATAAAGTCAATGAGCCTTTAATTTCACGTTTACCCATGACCTCATGTGAACCTCGTTGACCTCTGACCTCTACACACACACACACACACTAGCACTGTGTCCGGTCCAGCTGTTGATCTCTGATAGGGGTAGGGGTAGGGGTGGGGGTGGGGGTGGGGGGTGGGGAGGAGTTGGGAGGGGTGAAGGGGGAAACTAATATTCGATACTGGACTCGGAATCGGACATGGAACTGGTACTTTATCTTTATCTCTATATACCGGACTCTACCGGACATATATACCCTACAGATACCGGACAGTGCCTACAGTGGGTCTTGAAGTGGACGTAACTTGCCGGAACGGGGTGGAGGAGGTGGACAGGGTGACGCTAGTGAAGGAGTTCTCACGCTCCCGAGTCGTCTACCATCACGACCATCCTCACACCACCATCAACCTCATCATGCCTCTACAGGGACGCTACACCACCCTACAGGTATACCCCTACGTGATCTCTGACCTCTTGTTGAGCAATGATCTCTGAGTTGTGACCTATGACCTTTTGCTGACTTATCTCTGAACTGTGGCCTCCAAGCCTCTAGTTGACAACTGATCTGTGATCTCTAGTTGACCTCTGACCTCCAACTTTTCATCGACAGATCTTCATGGAGAACCTGATAAACATCTTGGAGAGCGACCCCCTCCAGATGAGTCTCACGCTCGTATACTTCAAGGACGACCTCCACCAGAAAGTCCAAGAACTCCTGAAGAAGGTGGAGTCCCAGGTGCCTAACTTGAGGACACAGTTCATCCTGCTAGAGAATAAAGAGTTCTCTCGAGGTCTTGGTCTCCAGATAGGTGTAGAGGAGACCAAGCTGAAGGGGGAGGTCCTCTTCTTCTGCGATGTGGACGCCTTCTTCACCCGCACCTTCCTCACCAGGTGTCAGACTACGCCCGTCCAGAACCACCAGGTGAGGTTATTAATTACGCCACACACACACACACACACACACACAACCTAACCTAACCCACACTGTGTCTCCTCAACAGGTGTACATCCCCATGGTGTTCTCGCTGTATAACCCAGAGTTTATCTACCCACTACACAAAAGGTCCATCCCGCCGCCTCTAGAGCAGCTGCTGGTGTACGACAACTACGGCTACTGGAGGATCTGGGGCTATGGTGAGAGGGGTGCTGAGGAGAGGGGTGGTGAAGGGGAGGGAAGAAGAGAGGGGTGGGGGTAGTGATAGGGAAGAGGTGAGGGGAGGGGGAAGAAGTGGAGGGAAAAGGATGGGGCAGAGGAGTGGTGAAGAGGTGGGAGATGAGTGGGAGAGGGAAGGAGAGAGGGAAAAGGATGGGGCAGAGGAGTGGGGAGATGAGTGGGAGAGGGAAGGAGAGAGGGAAAATAATATAAGTAAATAATCTAACCCAATAACACAATTACATGTAATATAATTTATAAACAACTGTAAAATTCCCTAAAATTAAGATAAAAATTCCCCTAAAAATAAATAAAAACTTTACCTTAAAATATTTTAGGTAAATTATAAAAAAGACACCCTAAAAATATTAGTAAAAAACAACTTAAAAAAATAATAAAACTTTAAATAATTTAGGTTTATCATCGCCTTCAAAAAACACAAAAATAACATCTTTAGAAACTTAAAAAAATCTCCCTTAGAATGTCCCGTAAATGTCCCCAAAATCTCCCAAATCTCCCTAAAATTTCCCCAAATCTCCCTAAAAATCTCCCTCAGGTATGGTGTGTGTCTATAAGTCTGACTTTCTCCACGTGGGAAACTTTAACAAGTACAGGAGGGGCTGGGGAGGCGAGGACCTTCTCTTACTGCAAAAAATTGCCAGGTCACGTAATTACAAAGTGATAAGGTAAGTGTCATTAAGTGGATTGTGGTAGTAGTGGTAATAGTGGTTGTTTGTGGAAGTGGTAGTTGGATGGTTGTAGTAATTGTGGTTGTTTGGTTGGTTGTGGAAGAAATGGTGGTAGTGGTGATTGGTTGGGTGGTATTGGGTGGTGAAATGGTGGTTGTGGTGATTGGTTAGGTGGTATTGGGTGGTTGGTTGTAGTAGTTATGGCAGTAGTGGTTGCTTGGTTAGTTGTGGAAGAAATGGTGGTAGTGGTTGATTGGTTGGCTGTGATTATAAAAAAAAATTTGGTAGTGGTGGTTGATTGTGGTAGCAATTGTGGTAGTGGTGCCAAACACTATACCTCTCTCTCTCTCTCTCTCTCTCTCACCTACCTACCTTCCTCACTTAACAGGTCACTGGACCCAGGACTCTTCCACCTGTATCACCCTAAGTCCTGCCGATCAACCGACCGGTTCTACTCCTGCACGAAGGTAGGTCAAGAGGGTATCGTAAGTGAGGTTAAGGGGGGGACATCGTAAGTGAGGTGAAGGGGGGAGATCGTAAGTGAGGTCAAAGGGTATCGTAGGTGAGGTTAAGGGGGATATCATAAGTGAGGTCAAGGGGGTATCTAACAAATCTGCAAACGTTTTTTAGGAAAGTCTTCGAGGTAGTAGATAATGACGAAAATTACGATGATATTTACTTAGACTTTAGCAAAGCATTTGACAGAGTACCGCATCAGAGGCTTCTGAGAAAAAATAAGGCTCATGGTATCGAGGGGAAAGTTTTAAATTGGATAAAATCATGGCTCACCGATAGAACGCAGAGGGTCAGCGTAGATGGTGTTAAATCTGAGTGGGGCCGTGTAACCAGTGGGGTTCCCCAGGGGTCAGTACTAGGCCCACTTGTTCATAATCTACATAAACGATTTAGATACTGGGATCAGCAGTGACATAAGCAAGTTTGCGGATGACACCAAAATAGGGCGGCAATTAATTCAGGGCAGGATGCAAATGCATTACAGGAGGATCTAAATAAACTGCAGGGGTGGTCTGAAAAATGGCAAATGAAATTCAACACCAGCAAGTGCAGCGTACTTAATATTGGAAGAACAAATACTTATAATGTATACAGCCTTAACAACATCAACCTAGAGAAGTCGACTTGTGAAAGAGACCTAGGGGTACTTGTAAGCCCGGACCTACGGCCTAGAAAACAGTGCGTTAATGTTCGAAATAAGGCAAACAGAGTATTGGGTTTTATATCTAGAAGTGTAAGTAACAAGAGTGCAGAGGTCTTATTGCAACTATATCTTGCGCTAGTCAGGCCACACCTCGATTATGCGGTTCAGTTCTGGTGCCCTATTATAGAATGGATATAAATTCACTAGAGTCGGTGCAGCGAAGAATGACAAAAATGATTCCGGGACTTAGAAACCTTCCATATCAGGATAGGTTAAAGAAACTTAACTTGCATTCCCTAGAAAGACGAAGAGTGCGGGGAGATATGATAGAAGTATTTAAGTGGGTGAAAGGAATCAATAAAGGGGATATAGATAAAGTTCTTATAATATCCGAGCAGGATAGGACTCGGAGCAACGGATTCAAGTTGGATAAGTTTAGGTTTAGGAGGGAGATAGGAAGAAACTGGTTCACAAATAGGGTGGTGGACGAGTGGAACAAGCTTAGCAACTTTGTAGTAAGTGCGGGAACTCTGGAAAGTTTCAAAAGGAGACTAGATAGATTCATGGATGATAGAGAGTGGTAGTAACTCTCGACAGGAGCTGCCATGCACAGGCCAACCGGCCTATTGCAGACTCCTTATTTTCTTATGTTCTTATGTTCTTGTGTAAGTGAGGTCAAGCGGGTATCGTAGGTGAGGTTAAAGGCATCAGTGAGGTTGGGGGGTGATCGTAAGTGAGGTCAAGGGGTATCGTAAGTGAGGTCTGGGGGCATCGTAGTAGGTGACGTCAGGGATATCATAAGGTCAAGAAATTATAGGTGAGGTCAGGATATCGTAGGTGAGGTCCACACACTCATACACACAACTGGGTGCCCTCAAGGTAAACAAGGTGAGCAACGGCCCCCCCTCCCCTCTTATAACATCAAGAAGCATAGATGGATATACAGGTACATACACAGGTACTGGTAAACGATACAGGTAAAGGCACTAATTACCACCCTTGATCTACCTACTTTTAACAGACAAAGGCCTTGAACGAGGCCTCAAAAGCATCCTTGGGACTGTGGTATTTCAAGACGAATACGGAGAACGTTTCTGTATTCGGTGTGTTGGCCGAGGGACACGACCCACCCACCACACACTGGCACCACGAAGACGAAGCCGAAGACGAAGCCAGACAACACAAACACATCCTACTCATTGTTTTATTGTCGTTCGTTTTAGCTGATGTTTTTGTTATGTTTTATAGCTATAAGATAGAGGTGAAGTATTACTGTTAAGTGAATATGTAAGAGCTATATACAGGTGTGTTTTGTGTGTTAATATATTTATTCATTTAGATTTCTGTTCGTTTTATTTTTTATCATTGAAAAAGTTTGTGATAGTCTATTTAATAATATATATATTATTATGTTGTATAGTTACCAGTCAGTTAGGTATTAGGTGCGCTCATTCGACTGTCATTTGTTTCATCTATCTCACTCGACTGTCATTTGTTTCATCTATCTCACTCGACTGTCACTTGCTTCATCCATCTCATTCGACTGTCATTTGTTTCATCTATCTCACTCGACTGTCACTTGCTTCATCCATCTCATTCGATCACTTGTTTCATCTATCTCACTCGACTGTCACTTGTTTCATCCATCTCATTCGACTGTCATTTGTTTCATCTATCTCACTCGACTATCACTTGTTTCATCCATCTCATTCGACTGTCATTTGTTTCATCTATCTCACTCGACTGTCACTTGCTTCATCCATCTCATTCGACTGTCATTTGCTTCATCCGTCTCCCTCACTTTATAAATATCAGTATCCCAAACAATTCATGGCTTTAACACAGTGTGCCATGATGTAATAGGTAAACAAAAAAATTACTACAGGGTCTTGGAATTGGATCTGTTGATTGGTTAAGTCTTATCTTGATAACAGGAAGAAACATTATCGTTGCCAGAAACACCGACTTAACACTACCTATTGATAACTTGAGGAGTCCCACAAGGGGATATCCTGAGCCCCTTCTGTTTCTTGGTTATGTAAATGATTAAAATAACATACCGGTTCCCACTAAAGCTAAATGTTAAGCTATATGACGATAACAGTGCTCTTGTAGTGTCAGATAAAGATGCAAATGAGTTAGTTATCTAAGTTATCATCTGAATTGGACTCACGTAAACAATTGCTGACAGATAAACAAATTTATCTTAGAAAAAGTTAAAGAATTATTATTTTAGGAGAAAAGAGTAACGTACGTTCACCTCAGCGACATACTAATTCTTGTTTATCTGTAGAATTAATTGTAGGTATTGTAGTATTAAAAATAATTCTAGAGTAAAGTGTCTTTGTATAAATGCCAAATGTCTCTGAACTAATTCTCGTAGGAACCTTTACTCCAACTAGCAATAAGGATCTTAATGGTTTTCTGGGCCTTACTGTTTACCCTTGTCTGTATGTCTGTTCTGTCTAGGCACTTTGATAATTGGTAATCTGATAAAGGTAACATAATTACGCTGGCTTAAGATAAACACATTAAGATAAGGTAACTAGGTTGTGTTAAGGTAATTAGCGAATCAAAAGGGTAATTAGGCCTAAATTTGACCTTGACGACGTACTGTGGATGGCACTGTCTTGACCCCAGTTACTGATAGGCTTGATCTAGTGTGTGTGTGTGTGTGTGTGTGTGTTTATCTAATCTAAATCTGTGTGTTTCGTGCTTTTCACACACAAACGAAAGAAATCAGACACACAAACACTTCATGCGTACAAAAAAGACACACACACACACACACACACACACACACACACACACACACACACACCAACATCCCACACCTGCCCACTTAATCTAAATGTCAAGTTCCCAAGTAGGCCTAACAGGATGTAGGCCTAACAAGATTTTCTCTCTCTTTCTTTCCATTCCTATTTCCACCTCCCCTAAGTTTCCCCCCTCTCCATCCCTCTTTTCCCTTCCCTTTCCTCCTTTTCCCGCTTTCCCACCTCTCCTTCGGTCTTTCTCTGCCCTCTCCCCGATGCATCTCTTTGTGTATGAACCTCTGTCCTGCGTGGCAGTGAACAGTGACATTACCCATATGAATCTGACCTCTATACATTTATAGCTGTTAATGAATATGATGTATTTCTTTGTGTATGCACCTCTGTCCTGCGTGGCAGTGAGAAGTGATACACCCTCAGTGTCAAGACCTGACTGAATTACTCAGAATAGGCAAACTGTACTACAAGCTCTGCCAATAAATTTGTTAAACTAAAAAACTTCCCCCTTCCCTCTCTACCTCCCCTACTCTCTCTCTCTCCCTACCTCTTTTCCCTCTCTCCCTACCTTTTTCCCCCTCTCCCTTCCACCTCTCCCTACCTCTTCTCCCCCTCTCCCTCCCACTCTCTCCCTACCTCTTTTCCCTCTCTCCCTCCCACCCCCTCCCTACCTCTTTTCCCTCTCTCCCCACCCCACTCTCTCCTTACCCTCCTCCTCCTCTCTCCAGATAAAGTACTAGTACCTCTACCTTATATGATATAGCAACAGAGATCTTAAGATATCCCACATAGGCCTTTAGGACTCTAGATCGATATCAAGGGTAAGATAGGCCTAGGAGATTTACGATAGTTATCAGCGGTCATCAGATAGGCCTATACGACTTACGTTACATATATGGGGTCATCAGATAGGACTATGAGGCTGACATTAGATATGTGGAGTTATCAGATAGGCCTACATTCTTACTTGAGATTTTATATAACTGTTCATTTAACTGGTTACAAAAAGTATTTAATACCATATAAAATGTATCAATGCATCAGTGATGCAAAAATACAGTAGATACAGTTATTTAGGTGTGTGTGTGTGTGTGTGTGTGTGTGAAAATGAAAAGAGAGAGAGAGAGAGAGAAGGGAGAAAGAGATAGAGAAATATAATAGTACGGGTGGTAGAGGAAGTGGCACTGCTCTGTCACTGGTAGCTGGGTCATATGTTGTTGACTCCAGCTATGGTGTAGGTAGAGGCGTCAGTGGCACTGTGTGGACTCCTGACCCTTTGTGTGGCGTGACATCCTCGGGGGGGCTGAGGTAAAAGGTGAGGGGTGGGAGGTAAGAGGTGAGGGGAGGGGTGGAGGGGGTGAGGGGGTGAGGGGGATGAGGGAGAGGGGAGGTGTGAGGGGTGAGGGGTGAGGAGTGTGTGAGGGTGAGGGGATGAGAGAGGGGTAATAAAATATGTAACCGACACACTGATTGGAATGTTGGCACTTATACACAAGTCTATATGTATGAGAGATACAGAGTAACACACACTACGTGCCCTCTTGCACACTTTCTTGTTTACCCTGCAATCCTCTCTCTCTATCTCTCTCTACAACTCTCTTTTTCAGCTTTATTCTCTCCCCCCCCATCCCTTACACACACACAGACACACAGGAAATCAAGTTATCAACACAGCCAAGATATACATACATATGGACCATGTACCCTCTGACTCCTGCTACTGGAGGGGGGTGAGGGTGAGAGGGAGGGGGGAGGAAGAGAAGGAGGACCGAGAGGGACAGGGGGACAGGAGGGAGTGGAGAGGGGAAAGAGAGAGGGGAAAGAGAGGGGGGAAAGAGGAAAGTTTAGAGGAAGGAGAGAGAGAGAGAGAGAGAGAGAGAGAAGGGGGGTTCTCACTACCTCCCCTTATCTCTCACCTTACACGTGTGGTTATATGACGCACCACACACACACACACACACACACACACACACACACACACAATACACACACACATTACTACCACCTCTGGCTTCCTTTCTCTCCATTCCTCTCCCCATCTCCCCACTCCCTTTCCTGTCACCCCACTTCATCCCTCCTCTCCTCTCCCCACTGCCCCTCTCTCTCTCTCCACTGCCCCCTGACCTCTCCTCTGTCCTCTCCCCACTGCCCTTCAAGTTTCCCCACTGCCCCCTCTCGCTCTCTTCCTACTGCCCTCCCCTCTCCCCTTCCCCTCCCTACCCCCCTCTCTGCTGGGTGTGTTGCTGGGGGAAGCAGACAATCGGTGGGTCCTTGACAGCCTCTCAGTCTGCTTGTACGTCTGTCTGCTGGGGGTGGTAACGGGGTCTCTCTCTCTCTCTCTCTCTCTCTCTCTCTCTCTCTCTCTCTCTCTCTCTCTCTCTCTCTCTCTCATGCCCGTGACCTGGTGGGGGAACGATAGTTAGAACAGGATATGAGAGGTAGACGAACAGACAGACAAGCAGATACACACACACACACACACACACACACACACACACACACACACACACACACCACAACACTTATCATCTGTGTGTGTGTGTGTTTCCACTTGTTATCTCAGCTGGTATTAAAGACATCTCTCTCTTACCACCATCACTACTACCATTATTACCACCATTACTACCACTACCACCATCATTACTACCACCATCACTACTACCATTATTACCACCATTTCTACCACTACTACCACTACCACCATCATTACTACCACCATCACTACTACCACCATCACTACTACCATTACACCATCACTTTCTACACTACCCACCACCACACACCATTGCCACCATCATTCCACCACTACTAACACCAATGCACCATCACTACTACCATTACCACCCTCACTACCACTACCTACCACTACTACCATTGCCACCATCACTTCCACCTACTAACACCAATGCCACAATTTATCTCTCTCTCTCTCTCACCTAATAAGGAATAATACAGAAGAGAACGTTAAGTTGTAACTTGTTATGATAGATGCCAGTGTCTGATTCATGCTGGCAGCAGGAGGAGGAGGGAGGAGGAGAAAAGAGAAAGGGTGGAGAGAAGAAGAAGAAGGAGGAGGAGGAGGAGGAGGAGGAGGAGGAGGAGGAGGAAGGAAGGAGAAGAAAGTGTGTTGGGAAGCACTGAAGGTAGCTTGCAGGAGTGCCACCACCAGTGTCATTATGTCTGTGGCACCGTGGCACCTTATATAGTTACAGCGAGCTCAGACGTGATGCATCCGGTAAGTCAATGTTTACGATTTTGTTGTCAGTGTTGGAGTACTTGTGGTGTTGACAGTGTTGGAGTACTTGTGGTGTTGACAGTGTTGGAGTACTTGTGGTGTTGTCAGTGTTGTCAGTTGGAGTACTTGTGGTGTTGTCAGTGCCCGTGATTGTTGACAGTGTTGGGTCTTGTGGTGTTGTCAGTGTTGGAATGCTTGTGGTGTTGTCAGTGTTGGAGTGTGGGTGTTGACAGTGTTGAGTATACTTGTGGTGTTGTCAGTGTTAAGATGCTTGTGGTGTTGTCGGTGGGTACTTGTGGTGTTGTCTTGTGGTGTTGACTTAGATGTTGGAGTA